GATGTTCATTTGGCAAGGTAAAATTATGGCGATTCGCAATCTTAATTTCTCTTAATTTGTTTTACTTTTTTGTTTAAAGTGAAATTCATCGGTATGTTTTCACTGCAAACAGACTATAATGAGACGGCAAGGTCAGGGTGACTTGCATTTCATTGATAACAGAAGCAATAAAGAGAGGGAATGCTTCATTTGACTTGATTGCATGGAATACAAAGTTAGGATGCAATGTGAAAATACCTCTGATGATAAGAAATACCAATTCCTAACAAAATAATTTATTCTGAATATGCCTGCCAGACCAAAGACCATTCAGTACATGGTCTTAGCCAAACCAAGCCAGTGGAAGATGAGCAGGTTAGAATCACAGACAGGTTGTATTCCCTCGATAAGCTGTTATCTGGACCAAACTGATCAGCTGTTTAATGCACCTTGTCAGGCAGTGGACAGAAGTGAGTGGTGGAAGCTCCAAAGCAGGTGGTATCTGCATGCTTCATTTCCACATACTTCAGCCATTTAATGAAAGTACAGGTGTGTTGAAATAGCCAATGCATAGTTTGATGAAGTCACTGGCTGTTTTCTTTGAATTCGTTTCGGATGAAATAACATCCATTGATCTATATACTCCAGTGCAAATCAAACAAAATATCTGAAGGATCTTGTTTTAAAATACACCAGTCAAGAAGCTTTGGTCAGCAGACTTTCCCAGCTTCCTCCCCCACAGACATTAGCATCATATATCTACAAACAAATGGGCGGTGGGGTAGCCTTGTGGTTAAAGCGTTCACTCGTCATGCCGAAGACCCGGGTTCGATTCCCCACATGGGTACAATGTGTGAAGCCCATTTCTGGTGTCCCCCGCCGTGATATTGCTGGAATATTGCTAAGAAGTGGCGTAAAACCATACTCACTCACTCTATAAACAAATAAATCTTTCTGTCTAAAGTATAAGAGGAGCAAAGTTTGCATCACAACATGTTCTTCTCCAAGGTCAGAGTTAAGGTGTTTTGTATGTCCTGTGACAAAGCTTTGCAGTGGAAGGGCGGACACCAGGGTATCAGATTATCTCTCACAGTCCCTGAACCCTGCTGTTTTCCTTTTCTCCATGTCCTTACTGTAATCCTATAGCACAAAATAAAGCAAGTTGAGATTTCCACATTTCTGAATCTTCAATCATTTGGGACTCATTTTCAGTTTATTTAGATATTGAGTTTTGTTTTTGTTTATTTCAATTATATATATATTCTTATTTGGGTGTAGTGTTTGTTACTATCAAAATGGTTAGTTTGATAGACGAGGCATTAGTGTCAGGTACTTAGATTACTTGAGTTTCACACGCTTTCTGAGATTATTCATACCCACTCATGTGGCTTGATGAGCAGAATGTGGTCTGTGTTAGGAATGCAGTGAAATCACACGGTGAACCAAGGTCAGGGTTGATGGATGTGGAGCTGACACAGTAATCATCCCTCACCTCCATGACCGACAGCTATAGACATTTTCCCCAGGGCATGCTATGATGGCCAGGATGCCATGTGTTGAAGACCCTGGGGTCATCCTGCTGTAATATTTCGTCCAAGAAATATCTTTATCGTATTTATGAATATATATCCAAACCATGTAATATATTAAAAATTTGATTGAGGACAAAGCTTATCTTGATTTCCCAAATCATTTTAGACTAGGGTTGGGTGCGTTTCATAATTTAATCTGTTAGATGCGGGAGAGGTGACTTGTTGTGATACCTGCTTAATAGCAGATCCACTATATTTGCTTCATTGTGCTTTTCCGATGATGTTTGCCCAACTGCACAGATCGATGCCTATGCTGTTGATCACTGGATTGTCTGCTCCAGACTCAATTATTTACAGACCGCTGCTATATAGCTGGAATATTGCTGAGTGTGGCGTAAAACTAAACTCACTCACTCACTCCGATGATATTTGACAAGATTGAATGAGTTTAATTTTACGCCACACTCAGCAATATTCCAGCTATATGGCAGCGGTGGGGGACACCAGAATTGGGCTTCTCGGAGTATACCCATGTGGAGAATTGAACCAGGGTCTTCTGATTCCACTCTTTTCCTTAGGTTTAGAATATTGCCTTACCCACTGCATAGGAAATTTTCTCATATTCATCTGACCTCTTTTGACTGCATTCCCTTTTGTTATGTCCAGACATACTCTTACACACTGAAACTGGCATAATCTAGAGTTGCTTCCCTTTGTTCAAGGGAAATCACTCTGTCTGTCGAGCCGATAGATTGCCAAAATAAACGTCACCACCAATGTTTTTTGTGTTTTTAAAACAGTCTTTAAAAGCTTCTTTGCCTATGTGTAGTTACACAAGTTTAAAAACAAGTTTCTGTTGGAATTTTATTGCCTGTTTTCTCTTTTTATCTGACTAATCACCGAACTTGTGATGTCTTACATTAATTCATACATTCCAGGAAAACTTGCAGTGATTAGGTACTGTTTTCAGCGAAAATCATTTCACTACTTAGACATATACAAAGTTTCCTCACCTTGGTTGTCATATTAGAAATGTACACTTTGTTATACTGTATATTTACCATCCCAAAAAACATAATGGCACCTTTCTTCCTCACAATATATTTTAAGATTTGAAATGATTACAACATGAATCAAATGATTATCAGTGCTAGTGTTATTAAATGGCAATTCAAATACAGCGTACACCTTTAAAGTAAATCATTAACAGGATCCTGATCCACAAAGCGTTCGTAGCGCTACAACATTCGTAAGACTATGGTAAACAGTAGAGTTACGACAGGTCGTAACGTTACGAATGTTTTGTGGAACAGGGCCCAGGACATTTTAAAGCATATTCCTAACAACAGTGTGTATTTTTTTATAGTTATTATGGGATATTTATATAGCGCACATATCCACGCACTAGTGCATGCTCAAGGCGCTGGTATTTTTTGATAAAAAATACTTTCATTTTAATAAATGTGTACGTTAGCCATCATGCAACTTGCAGACGTATGTATTTTTATGTATAATTCTTCAAATGTCTGTGTTATGTACAACATATACAACAGGTTCTGTTCACCACTGCTGGTGCATGTCAATGGGTACAAGATTGGACAAACGTTTCATTGTGTGTTCCAACATAACAGAGATTTATGTTCATAGCTAATAAAATGGTTTGTGTGTACTACAAAGTTATTGTGCAGTTAAATGAACAGTCCTTATGGTTATATCGTGTGCATCGATGCATGATGAATGGGTGCTCGGGTTCACCAGTATCTGAGGCACCATATTTAGCTGTGCAGAGTTATGTCCCTTGGTCTTGCAAGGATATGATGATTGTGAGTTGACTGCCATCTGGCATAACTGGTTGCTGAAAATAGGCATAATCTGCCGTAGAATATTGATAAGATTTTTCCACAGGATACTTGTATCATTTATCAGAGAACTTCACGTTATTTTATCTCCAACATTTGGGCATTCAAAAAGAATATGGACATTATACATGCCATTACATTGCTTAAATATTGCTGTTATGCTGCCTGAGTATTGTTGTTAACATGATGGAATATTGTCATGTTGCAGGAATATTGCTGTTACATTCAGGGGTGGAAATAACTTTAAAATTAATAGTGTACTCCGGTACAATGGCACATGTAAAATCACTTGCCTTGATAATTTTTCCACTATACCGTCCGTTTTCTTGTTGATTTTTTAAAATAAACAACATCATTAACATTGGAAAGTCAACTGGACACCGGTACAGTGTGATATACAAATTTGCTTGCCCGACAGAAAAAAACACTGGACTCGGACGTCGGGCAATGGGTTATTTTCACCCCTGACATTAATTGAATATTATTGTTTTGTTGCTGGAATATTGCAATTACATTAGGTGAATATTGTTGTGTTCCTATAATATTACTGTGGCCCTAATTGAATTTTTGTCACATTTCTGGATTATTGCTGTGGCCTTATTTGTTCTTACAGTGCTGGATTATTGCTGTGGCCCACATTGAATTTTTTTGTTCCATTGCTGGATTATTGCTGTGGCCCTAATTAATTTTTCTTGTCACATTTCTGGATTATTGCTGTGGCCTTATTTGAATTTTGTTCTTACAGTGCTATATTATTTCTGTGGCCCATATTGAATTTTGTTCTTACAGTGCTGGATTATTGCTGTGGCCCTAATTGAATATTGCTGTTCCGTTGTTAGATTATTGTTGTGGCCTTATTCGAATATTGTTGTTCTGTTGTTAGATTATTGCTGTGACCTTATTCAAATATTGTTGTTCCATTGTTAGATTATTGTTGTGGTCTTATTAGAATATTGTTGTTCTGTTGCTGGTACACTGTCATCGTGTTCCTGAAAATAATGCTGGCTGCAGCAGAAGCCACGTTATCTGTGTGTCTAAGTATAGACAGCGTAGTCTGTTCAGGGTATTTTCTAGTCCATTTAACCTCTTCACCAGTAGCTGAGTATCTTATAATTCTGTATTTCTGCTTTATTCCTTCTGCTTGGGGGGCGGTGGGGTAGCCTAGTGGTTAAAGCGTTCACTCGTGACGCCGAAGGTCCAGGTTCGATTCCCCACATGGGTACAACTTGTGAAGCCCATTTCTAGTGTCCCCCGCCATGATATTGCTGAAATATTGCTAAAAACAGCGTAAACCATACTCAGCCAGCCTTCTGTTTGGATACCGCCGTTGTTGGTGGGGTGGCCCATTTAGTAAGCATTGATTCGTCACAGACCAAGGATCACCACAAGGGTAGATGTTTGATGTGCTACCTTGGTGTTCCTTGCTGGTTTATTGCTAGACCTTTGCTAGGTCTGCATAAGTCCCCCACAAAATCTTATAATTATGCTAACGGCATTAGATTACAGTACTTCATGACCTGAATGAGAGCAGTCACCTGTTTTTCCAATTATATCTTATTACAGCAGACATTGTAACATGATGTATTAGTTTTGGCAATTAAATTAATCATATTGAATCATTCCTTTTCAGCAAAGTTCATGGAAGATAATCCGCAGTATCGTGAGATGGTCGCCCTTTGTTCAAGTGTTCAAGAAAAACAAGTATCCTTGGATTCAGCTGGCTGGCCACCAAGGTGAGTTGGTTCAATGTTACTGTAGCTCAGTTGCCTGGATAAATACTCATGACGTCAATCTCTGGATTATCTGGTACAAACCAGATCACCTGCAGACCATCATCATATAGCTGGAATATTTCTGACTGTGCCATTAAATAACAAATGAACCTACTGTCCATGTACAGTCTATATTTGACTGGTGGTGGGGTAGCCTAGTGGTTAAAGGGTTCCCTCATCACACCGAAGACCGGGTTTAATTCCCCACATGGGTACAATGTGTGAAGCCCATTTCTGGTGTTGCCGCCATGATATTGCTGGAATATTGCTAAAAGAGGCATAAAAGCTAAACTTCACTCACTCGCTCACTGTATTTGACTGTATAAACTACCCGTCTGTCTGTGTGTCTGTGTCTAGGAAACTTCCAGGCAGGTGAAGCTGGTGCCGTGTTGAAAAAGCTGGACAGTCGTGAGAAACAGTGCTACCTCAAGCTGATGTCGGACTCACTCAAACCATTCGTGCCCGAATACCGGGGTGATACAGAGAAAGCTGGCGACAGTATCCTTTGTCAAAGGCTATATTTTGTATCATGATACAACCAAATCATTACGTATTGTAATTGATGAATTTGTAATTCTTTCATCTCACATCCAAATGCTATCTTCAACACCATATTCTAAATCAAGTTGACTTTCATTTAAAGTGTACCGGTACATTGAAAATGCATGTCACTGAGAGCAGATAAGAAATTAAAGATCTCATATCTAGATTATTCCTGTGAATGCAAAAACTCTATTACATTGTTGCCATCAATTACCTATTTTGGTTGTCATCACACTGTAAAATATGTTCAACAGATGTCCTCTTTACTGTCACGTATCTGTAATTAGTTGTGCATGTAATAGTCTCAGTATGGGTTGTCAGTGTGTTAGCTTGTTACAGCATAAACCTGTTCTATTCTGACAGCAGTATTTACCATGAAGCACATGTTTTTACATACTTGTGACATGACTGCAAGCGTGTTGAGAGTGTGTGATCCCAAGTCCTATGTGTATTTTGCCTTAAGTGAGCTACAGAATATATCCAGCTGCAGGATCTGCTGTGTGAGTTCAACACACCTTGTGTGATGGACATCAAGATGGGTTGTCGGACCTACCTGGAGGAGGAGCTCGAGAAGGCTCGCAGCAAGCCCACTCTGAGAAAGGTACGATCCCATTGGTTGATGAAGGTGACGATGGATGACGTCAACTCGCATTGACAAACTGTAATCTCATTGATATAACTGCAGCTGTTATCTCAGTAGTATAACATGAAGTCCTGTCTGACTGGTGTGGTTTAACATCAACTCTCCTAACTGGTCCATTATAAACACAGCAACTGAAATACAACAGTAATACAACATAGTGAGGTGAGGTGAAATTGGGTTTAATGTCGTGCTTGAGAATATTTCGCTCATATGACGACGTGCATGTATATGTATGTGTATGTGCGGCTGCTTGTACTAGCCCAGACTTAAGCTGGTTTTATAGTGCTAGCCCACTGAGTGAAGTGAAGTGCCGCAGTGAAGCATGTATATCCCACTCAGACACATAATACTGACTCCGAGCCGACCAGTCCTTGTTGTACCCATTAATGCCGAGCGCCAGGCAGGGACCAACAAGTACCATATTTTAACGGACGGTCGCTCTAACCACTACACCACGGAGGCGGTCAATACAACATAGTATTAATAATAATATTTAAGTGTGTGGGACCCTATTTTTGTGGTCCAGGACCCCTGAAAACTAAGTGTATGAGTCCCAGAGACCCTGAAGTACAGGACTTGAGGTCAAACCCTGGGCAACACTCCTTATTCCTTGCTACATCTCTACCAGTCTCATTTTAATAACAACAGACTTAAAGATCAGTCTGATTTAGACAAAGCTTCATTACACAGATCTGAAAAGTTACAGCCATCTATTGTGGATGTTATAAAATACTGCCTGTTTAAAGACCTCTACAGAAAATACTGCACAATTTTTGCCTGATTTCATTTTAAATAAGCCTATAAAGTTGTGTGACTAAGATTAAGTATGTCAGGTTAGACAGGTCGCAGCTCAATGCTCCTGCACGTCATTGTGTCATTTAAGCTTTGAAACCTGTTTGGTTGTTACCGTGACGTCAATGAGAATAGTGAGGTTAGCGTCACAGAGCATTCAACAGACAGGATTTTCCAGTCCATGCAATATATGTCACGACGAAACTGTACCCAGTCACATGATACGAAAATGCATTAAAATAGATAATGTAGGAGAGCATCATGGCTGGAGGATTAAGAACACAAAGGGTCGTTGTTAGACAGCAGAGATGCAATACTAGGATAGATCTCAGAGTCATTACATTGGAACAGCCAACATGTGTAGGTCCGGGTGTGAAGGCCCTGAGTGACAGTCAGTCATGATACCAGGCCCCGATTTCTCGAAACAAACTTAAGTTTTTACTCAAATTTCAAACTGATTTTGACAATTTGAAACAGCTGAATTTGTAACTCAACTGCATTTTTAAAATAAAAAAGCCCAAACAATTTAAGTAATCTTTCCACCAAACTCAAATTGTGTACTGTGTTTGAGTTAAACATTGATTTCTGGGAAATGCAGTTTCCTCCTTTTTCTCAAATTTGAGTAAAAACTCTAATTTAAGTCAAAACTCAGACTTAAGTTTTTTGAGAAATTGGGGCCTGGTGTAGAGATATATGAATACATAATGAGTTAGGACTGGAGACATTTGAAACAGTGGTCTTTAAAGATATAATACTCACTGTAACGAGTCATGACATAAGCATATATTCCTGGGTTTGAATCCCATCTTGGATTGGTTATGTTTCTAGTTTTACCTGTTTCATCCCATGTTTGTTAGTTTCATGTAATTGGTAAATATCAGAGATCTGCATCATTTTGTGCATTCCTACTGCTAACACGCCATGACATCACTGAAATACTGTTCAAAGCTGCTTTAGACCAAACTCACTCACTCACTCTGTCTCTCTGTTATGACACAGCTGATAAATAATGCAAGCAAGATGTGACAAGTAAGCCCCAAAATATGTGATTTCATGTCCCAATCTATTCTTTTGTAGTTCATACTTTTACAAATGGCACCATTCAGGAAATAGCTAATTTTGTTATATATTTTCCCCACTTCTTACTATCTTAGGATCAGCTGAATTAGTAAGCTATTTGCACACAGTCCTAGACATATTGGATTTTTTCATCATGTGAAATATCTTTCAACTGGGTTGGGCATAATCCCCTGCTCAGGACGTCATCCTGGCTTGAAGAAAAACTCCTTTCAAGGGCGAATATTGATTCATCGATTGATTCTCCAGATTACCAGCTACCGAGATATGGCAAGCATATGATGTTGTTGACATGGTTACGCAGATAATCTGGAAGTTGCCTGAGGTTCGTTACAGAGTTGTTGCCAATAATGAGCAAAACTTCCTGAATGCAGAAGTCTTCTGGGCTGTGTGGACATTGGGAGATTATTCTTTTGTCCTACAGTTTGTAAAGTATGACCAACAATAACTCAGAGGACATGATCAGTTGGGGATAAGCATAAGAAAATAATAATATATAATACAAGAAATGTTTATCAGCTATGTTCAGCTATGAATAATTGCCTTTGGTTGACCTTTGAAAAAGTCTTGTACTTGCTTGTGAAAAAGCTCATCAGAATTTTGAAATGAAATGGACATATGTTACATAAGGAAGAAGGGTCTATATGACATCAAGACATGTTATATACTTTTATCGTCCTATGATAAATCACAATGTAAAAGCTTATTAGCAGTTAGCCTGTGTATGCCAGTCATACCCGTGTTCATGGGTTTCAAAAAACGTGATAAACATGCATGAAATTCTAGATGTCCTCACACATCAGAGAAACATAAGACAAAGTAATATGTTTCATGGTTCATGGGATGTTGACTCAGAGACACCCACAGGGATAGTCTCACCGTATTGGAATCAAACCCAGGTCTGAGGCATACCAAGCAAACACTTTCCTACTGAGCTACCAACATACTTCAGCATTATAAGTTTTATGCACCGTGTAGTCAAGCTAACGTGATGATATCATATTAAGAACATTTGTTGTACTGTCTGCAGGGAAACATGTCCTTTATCACAAAGCTATTTGTGTGTTAATGACAGTAACACTCGGGGCAGTCCCTGGAGGTTCAGAAATGGGAAGGAAGTATAGGGAGAGTTCAACAACACCACAATGGAAGTGAAACTGAGATATGGCTTGACACACATTTCATTTTCCCCTGTGACTCTATTAGAATGGCTGATATGTCAAACACTTACACCGCAAAGAACAAACAGTGTTGGGTAGTTCACATGTCATTTTAACAAAGCTGTTTTGTACAGATGTAATATCCTCAGTGAATAATAGGGGGAAGTAGTAGAGTATATTTTTCATTTGTAAATAGTGAAACAAATAGTTTGTAACTTAAAACAGGAAATAATGGTCTTCAATATATGTTATGAAAATGAAAGGGAAAATCAGGGATGTGTTTCATAATAGGAACTAATGAAAGTATAATCGTTTTTGCTTTTAAAAAATGTCAGTGGCATCAACAGATTTCATATCAGATTAATAGCCTTGTGACCTCAGTTATGTTTGTGTTTGTTGTGTTGGGTAAATGGAGGGCTACATGAGTACAGTAACATCCACTCTGACCTACAAGCGCCATGGGGGCGGTGGGGTAGCCTAGTGGTTAAAGCGTTGGCTCGTCACGCCGAAGACCCGGGTTCAAATCCCCACATGGGTACAATGTGTGAAGCCCATTTCTGGTGTCCCCCGCCGTGATGTTGCTGGAATATTGCTAAAAGCGGCGTAAAACTAAACTCAGTCAGTCAGTACAAGCGCCATGGGGGCAGATCAGCTGATTGCTTCCTTGCTTACAGTAATATCTGGTTGAATGATGCAAAAATCATTTCAAAAATAATAAATAGACATAACTTGTTTTCAGAATAGGATGTGGCTGCTTTAAAACCTGTTCTAAGAGCAGAGGTCATTGATATCCGGATATGCTGGCTAGGATTAATTGAGACGTACATACCTGCAGGTTTGATATAATGAAAATAGTGGTCAGACATTATACTGGTAACACATCAAACCTCTACTATAATTATGATTCATGGGTTTCCCTTCCTTCCTACACCCCATCTGCCCCCTGTGTCCCTCAAGCTAATGCCCATACTCCCCATCTGCCCCTTGTGTCCCTCAAGCTAACGCCCCTACTTCCAATGTTCCCTGACTCCTCATGTTGGTCAAGTTGCTTTTAAAGCTATGCCTTGGTTGATAATGTGTGTCACTGTTATCCATTGTGTTTCAGGTGGATACAATGTGTGAAGTCCATTTGTAATGTACCCAAACCATGATATTTCTGGAATATTGCTAAAAGCAGTGTAAAGCCATACTTACTCACTCAAAGGTTTCATCAAAACAGTAAACATCCGAGACCTGCAACAATTGGGCTTTTTTCAAAATCATTCTGTTGAAAATGGCATCAAAGCAGAACAAAACAAAATAAAATCACTCACTCACTCACACACACAACCACCCACTCACTCACCCACCCACACAACCACCCACTCATTCACTCACTCATTCACTCACTCACTCACTCACACACACACAACCACACACCCACTCACTCACCCACTCTAGCCAACGTGTACATAAAACAACATGCGCTCACACTGATACACCCATAACCTGATTCCACCAATTCAATAATTTATTATGGCATATATCACATCATAACAACTGTATGAAAGTTCAACATACTTGAAATACTTCACCTGACAAATTCATCATAGGTTCTCATTTATGTACAAAGTACTCCCTGATGTCTCTAAACCTGTAATAGATTTGTAAGTACCACATCAATCACTTCAAGTCATGTTTTCTTTACCATTAACACATCCAAGAGCTCTTTGTTCAATAGACTTCTACTTCAGTTCATTTCGTTTGTAATGAAATTGATTATCATCAAAGACAACGTCAGTGAACCCACTCAGTAAGGCTGATTATACAAGCCCTGTTATCTGACCAGCCACGCTGTGGTCTTGTCTCATCATTGCTAAGGTTTGAATTAGGTGGTAGGTATACATGCCGTGTATACAGGTGATATCATCACTCATGGGGGTGTCTAAT